TACCTGCCTATTTTTGTGCCAATACCAAGCTGTTTTCAGGACTATAGCTCTATAATAGAGCTTGAAGTCAGGTATGGTGATGCCTCCTGAAGTTCCTTTATTGTATAGGGTTGTTTTGGCTATCCTGGGCCTTTTGTTTTTCCATATAAAGTTGATTAATGTTTTTTCCAGGTCCTTGAATAATTGTGATGGAATTTTGATAGGGATTGCATTGAATCTGTAGACTGCTTTTGGCAAGATTGCCATTTTTATTATGTTGATCCTACCAATCCAAGAGCATGGGAGATCTTTCCATTTTCTGGTATCCTCTTTGATTTCTTTCTTTAAAAACTCACAGTTCTTTTTATACAGGTCTTTCACTTCCTTGGTTAACATTATCCCCAGATATTTGATGCTGTTTTTGGCTATTGTAAAGGGTCATGTTTTTCTGATTTCTTTCTCAGTCACTTCATCATCTGTATATAATAGGGCCACTGATGTTTTTGAGTTTACCTTGTATCCTGCCACATTGCTGAAGGTGTTTATCAGCTCTAGGAGTAACCTTGCGGAGTTTTTTGGGTCACTTATGTAAACAATCATATCATCTGCAAATAGTGAAAGTTTGACATCTTCTTTTCCTATTTGTATCCCCTTTATCTACTTTTGTTGTCTTATTGCTGTAGCTAGAACTTCAAGTACAATATTGAAGAGATATGGAGAGAGTGGACAGCCTTGTCTTGTTCCTGATTTTAGAGGAATTGCTTTGAGTTTCTCTCCATTTAGTTTGATGTTAGCTATTGGTTTACTGTATATTGCTTTTATTATATTCAGATATGTTCCTGTTATCCCTGATCTCTCTAGGACCTTTATCATGAAGGGGTGCTGGATTTTGTCAAAGGCTTTTTCAGCATCTAGTGAGATGATCATGTGGTTTTTCTTTCGCAGTTTTTTTATATGGTGGATTACATTGATAGATTTTCTAATGTTGAATGATCCCTGCATTCCTGGGATGAAGCCTACTTGATCATGGTGGATGATTTTTCTGATGTATTCTTGAATCCAGTTTGCGAGTATTTTATTGAGTATTTTTGCATCGATGTTCATGAGGGAAATTGGTCTATAGTTCTCTTTCTTAGTTGTGTCTTTGTGTGGCTTGGGTATCAAGGTAATTGTAGCCTCATAAAAAGAGTTTGGCAGTGAGCCTCCTGCTTCTATTGTGTGGAATACTTTGAGGAGTATTGGAATTAGCTCTTCTTTGAATTTCTGGTAGAATTCTGCACTGAAGCCATCTGGGCCTGGGCTTTTTTTGTTTGGGAGACTTTTGATTACTGCTTCTATTTCATTAGGGGTTATATGTCTGTTTAGATTGTTTATCTGCTCTTGATTTAGTTTTGGCAAGTGATATCTATCCAGGAAATTGTCCATTTCCTTTAAATTTTCAAATTTTGTGGAGTACAGATTTTCAAAGTATGCCCTGATGATTCTCTGGATTTCCTCAGAGTCCGTTGTTATGTCCCCTTTTTCATTCCTGATTTTGTTAATCAGCATGCTCTCTCTCTGTCTTTTGGTTAGTTTAGACAGAGGTTTGTCTATTTTGTTGATTTTTTCAAAGAACCAACTCTTTGTTTCATTGATTCTTCTCAGTGTTTTCCTGGTTTCTACTTGATTGATTTCCTTCCTCAATTTGATTATTTCCTGGCATCTGCTCCTCCTGGGTGAGTTTGCTTCTTTTTGTTCTAGAACATTCAGCTGTGCTATTAATTCTCTAGTATGACTGTTCTCCAGTTTTTTCATGTGGGCACTTAGTGCTATGAACTTTCCTCTCAGCACTGCTTTCAAAGTGTCCCATAAGTTTGTGTATGTTGTGTCTTCATTCTCATTGAATTCCAGGAAGTCTTTAATTTCTTTTTTATTTCTTCCTTTACACAGGGATGGTGCAATTGTGCATTGTTCAATCTCCATGAGTTTGTAGGGTTTCTGCGATTTGTGTTATTGCTGAATTCTAATTTTAATGCATGGTGGTCTGATAAGATACAGGGGGGTTATTCCAATTTTCTTGTATCTGTGGAGATTAGCAATGTTTCCTATTATGTGGTCAATTTTAGAGAAGGTTCCATGTGGTGCCGAGAAAAAGGTATATCCCTTTGTATTTGGGTGGAATGTTCTATAGATATCTGTTAAACCCAGTTGGGTCATAACTTCTATTAGTTCTTTTGTTTCTTTGTTACATTTCTGTCTGGAGGTCCTGTCTAGCCATGAGAGCGGAGTGTTGACGTCTCCTACTATTAGTGTGTGAGATTTTATGTGCATTTTGAGTTTTAGTAGTGTTTCTTTCACGAATGTAGGTACCTTTGTATTTGGGGCATAGATGTTTAAAATTGAGACTTCATCTTGATGTACTTTTCCTTTGACGAATATGAAGTGTCCTTCTTCATCTCTTTTGATTGATTTTAATTTGAAGTCTAGTTTGTTAGATATTAGGATTGCTACACCCGCTTGTTTCTTGGGATAATTTGATTGGAAGATCTTTTCCCAACCCTTTACTCTGAGGTAACGTCTGTCTTTGATGTTGAGATGTGTTTCTTGTATGCAGCAGAAGGAAGGGTTCTGTCTTCGTATCCATTCTGCTAGTCTGTGTCTTTTTATAGGCAAGTTGAGGCCGTTGACATTGAGGGATATTAATGACCATTGATTGATGATTCTTGTTTGTGCTTGATTTATTGTTAGTGAGGTTATTTTGTGTAGTTTCTCCTCCCTTTTTCTTTTGGTGTTTTGTAGAGTGGGATTATATCTTGCCTGTGTCTTTGTGAATGTAGTTATCTTCCTTGGATCTAGGTTTTCCTTCTAGCACTTTCTGTAGAGCTGGATTCATGGATACGTATTGTTTAAATCTGGCTTTGTCATGGAATATTTTGTTTTCTCCATCTATGGTAATTGAGAGCTTCGCTGGATATAGTAGTCTGGGCTGGCATCCTTGTTCCCTTAGCATTTGTAGGACATCTGTCCATGATCTTCTGGCTTTCATTGTTCGATTGAGAAGTCAGGTGTAATTCGGATAGGTCTGCCTTTGTATGTTACTTGGCCTTTTTCTTTAGCTGCCCTTAATATTTTTTCTTTACTCTGTAGGTTAGATGTTTTGATTATTATATGGCGAGGTGTCTTCTTTTTCTGGTCCAGCCTATTTGGTGTTCTGTAAGATTCTTGTATTTTCATAGGCATGTCCTTCTTTAGGTTAGGGAAGTTTTCTTCTATGATTTTGTTGAATATGTTTTCTGTACGTTTGAGTTGTATTTCTTCGCCTTCTATACCTATTATTCTCAGGTTTGGCTTCTTCACGGTGTCCCATATTTCCTGGATATTTTGTTTTAAGGATTTGTTGGTTTTGAGATTTTCTTTGGCTGACGACTCTATATCCTCTAATGAGTCGTCAACACCTGAGATTCTCTCTTCTATCTCTTGTATTCTATTGGTGATACTTGCATCTGTAGTTCCTGATCGTTTACCCAGCTTTTCTATTTCCAGCATCCCTTCATTCTGTGCTTTCCTTATCGTTTCTATTTCAGCTTTCAATCCTTCAACTGTTTGAGTTGTTTCCTTCATTTTTTTGGTTGTTTTTTCTTGGTGCTCTTTAGATTCTTTGAGAGATTTGTGTATTTCTTGAATTTTCCCCCCATTTCATGGATTTTTTTGTTTGTTTTTTCTTCAATTTCTTTAAGGGATTTCCTCGTTTCTTCTTTGAGGGTCTCCATCATCTTCATGAAATAATTTTTAAGGTCTGTCTCCTCTCCTTCGTCTCTGTAGTCCTTTTCGGGTCTTGCTGGTGTTGGATCCCTAGATTCTGGTGGGGTCATGTTGGTCTTTCTATTGCTGAGTGAGCTCTTATTCTGTCTTCTTCCCATCTCTTCTTCCAGTGGATGCTGGTGGGGTCTTTCTGTCTCTACTGGACTCCTTCCTTCCTGAAGCTGAAGCTGGACTAGCTGGGGTTTGGGGCTTGGAAGAGCTGATGTCTTTCCTGAAGCTGGACTCGCTGGGGTTTGGGGCTTCGAAGAGCTGATGTCTTTCCTGAAGCTGGACTCGCTGGGGTTTGAGGCTTCGAAGAGCTGATGTCTTTCCTGTGTGGGCGGGTCTTCTGAAGCTGGATTCGCTGGGGTTTGGGGCTTGGGGCTTGGAAGAGCTGTTGTCTTTCCTGAAGCTGGACTCGCTGGGGTTTGGGGCTTGGAAGAGTTGATGTCTTTCCTGTGTGTTCGGGTTTTCTGGATGCCAGGAGCTGCCCGAAGATCAAGGGGATGGGTGTCGGGCGGGGGGATCCCAGCTGGAGACCCAATCTCACCTGAAGCTGGGGTCGCTGGGGTTTGGGGTTTGGAAGGACTGATGTCTTTCCTGTGTGGGCGGGTCTTCTGGATGCCAGGAGAGGCCCAGAAGATCAAGGGGATGGGTGTTGGGTGGGGATCCCAGCCGGAGACCCAATCTCACCTGAAGCTGGACTCGCTGGGGTTTGGGGTTGGGAAGAAAATGTGGTTTTGATTATTCCTTTTTATTTGAATTGACAAAAAAAACTTCATATTTAAGAATTTCTAGACTATGGATATATTATAATTATTCTAAAATTGTTGGAATTATTAGTTCCTATTCGATTTGCTCAGTTTGAAAATAAAGTAGACTATTTCACAGTCACTGTGCACATTTGGATCTTGGCTCTTGCGTTAATTCATTAACAAGTGCTAAATATAGCATTGGAATGCTTTACCACTGTTGTGTTGAGTGGCTCCTGGTTCTATCCAGAGAAAGGGGGGGCACAATAACATATTAGGGAAGTAAGTATGATATGTAGTATGTAATTACAGGTAGCATGTAACTAGATCATAATAACACATTTAACAAAGTATTGCAAAGATAGTTCAAATAGTGTTCACAAGGGTAGTTTCTAATATTATTGAGGTAACTGTTCTTGGTGAAGTCTAAATTTTGTGCTAAAGAAAATCTAGAAAGTTTGTGACTAATGTTCTTTGTATCATTTCTAGGTGGAGGTTTAGCCGTTGGAACAGTTCTTCTGATTGGTTAGTATAAAATACATAATAACCAATTCTGTTTTGCACATGGTGTTTTATGAGTTTCTCACTCTGAAACTGAATAATTAAATGATGAGCTCTCCATAGATGTAAAGTCATTTCAGAACTTGTCTAAATACACTCTTTAATTCAAAACTGAGATGGGCAGGCATATTTGAAAATGTATCACCCAACATTTAAAAATGGTTACTTTTCACTGTGCACCATTTTAAGTTTAACTGAAATTTATTTAAAATGAAATGTCAAGTGCTTTAAAAAGAACTCAGTAGTAAAAGTGGATTGTAGTGATTAATTTGAGAAATGAAAGACTTGATAAGTGTCCTATGTGTGAGTGTATAGATGTGTAGTACATTTCACAGATCTTGTGATTGTCTTATTGAACAAAACAGGGCAAAGTAGGCCGATTAATTGTTCATTTTTAAAGTGATTAGAGTTCTTATTTAAATATGCAACCCTATATGGCACATTTCAGCATAGATCACAGGATCTTCAAATCACTGTTAGCTTCATCTAGCACATAATGGTAGCACCCCATTAGTGTTTAACCTGTTTACTTGCAACATATATATTGTTTCTAGTTTAGTCTTAAATCAGTCAGCCTACTTTTTTATATGACTCCATTAAATTATTTGAAAATATCTATTTTATCATCTCAAATTTTCCCTAACCTAAATGGAAGTAATTTGGTGACCTGGCTGTGAGAGTTAAGAGTGACTCCTTGTTCTCCCCGTTGTCTCTTAATATACCTCCTAAAATGTCATTTTTCTTTCATTGCCCAAAACTGATTAAATATAAGACCTGCCTTATGTTCCTCTCTTTGCCCAGCCATATCACTCCTGTCTGTACCTCTCTACTTCTGGGATTAAAGGTATAAGTTTCTGTTTCTCTTTTAGACTTATTTCACTCTCATGTAGCCCAGAATGGCCTTGAACTCACAGAGATCCATCTGCCTCTGTCTGCTGAGTGCTGGGATTAAAGGTGTCTACCACCACTGCCTGGCCTCTATGGCAGTGGCTATCTTTGCACTCTGATCTTCAGGCAAGCTTTGTTAGATCATAAACAAAATATCACCACAGACACTATATTTCAAGGGTGCGACAGATAACCTGATCCTCTGACTCCTAACAGTTTCCATCCTTTGGCTCTTACAGTCTTTCCACCCTCTCTTCCACAATGCTCTCTGAGTCTTAGGTATAAGGACTGTGTTGTAGATGTATTTGTTGGGGTTGGCTAGTTGGGGTTGGCTGCCCCATGGTCACTTGTTCTCTACATTTGACCAATTGTGAGTTTATGTAGTAGTCTCTATTAGCTCCAAAAAGAAACTTCTTTGTTGAGGTATAAGAGATATACTTATCTGTAGGTATTAAAATAAGTAGTTGGGGGTAGAGCAAAATGTCTTAGTGTTTAAGAACATGGATGTTTCTCTTAGAAGACCCAGGTTTGAGTCCCAGCTCAAAAATATCTGTTAACTATGCATGTGGCACACTGACATATATGTAGACTAAACACATACATAAAATTAATAAAAAATTTAAAAATACTGAAATGCAGTTATAATTTATAGTGGTTTAGGAAAGTGGCAATTAGTAGGTTCTCCTCTACCATCTGTGACTTCACCAGCCATAGCTGGTTGTCTAAATTTATAGTATCAGTAATGAGTTCCTTCCTATCGAGCATGCCTTACATTTAATTAGATAGATGTTGGTTACTCCCAGGATGTAAGTGCCACTAGTGCACCCTTAGGGAAATCTTGCTAGACTAGTCATTGTGATGTTTTTTAGGCTGTGCGGTTGGATAGGACTCTTTGATTGTTTTTCTCCCTTGTTAGGTTGGTTATGAGGAGGCCCAATCCTCAGGGATGAGAAAGCTTCCAGGTCAGTTCTAGCTTGACTCCTCCAAAACCCATATGCAAACTGTGTGGCATCTTCAGCAATAATACAACTTAGGAGGCATCTAAGAGAGGTAGGGCAATAGCCTGTATTGTTTTGTGAGTGTTGGGTTAAGTAGATGATAGATGATCAGGACTTAAGGTAGAGAAACTGGACTACACAAGTAAATAGTGTGAAAAAAATAAAAATAAAAACACATGGAAGGAAAATGCAGTAAGTTGAGGACACCAGATCTTTGAATTATAGGCATAGAAGATAAAGTATCCAAGGTCATTAGCAAAAAAAAAAAAAACAACAACAACAACAAAAAAACACCAAAACAAAAAACCAGATCTTTTTATGGTCATAGAAGAAAACCCCAACCCCAAATTAAGGAAAGACATATCTACAAATATAAGAGCACACAGAACTCTAAATAAATAAGACCAGAAAAGAAGCTCTTTGTGGCATAGTATTGTTAAAACATTTAAATATGCAAAACCAAGAGAGGCTATTAAAAGCTGCAGGGGAAAAAAAACAAAACAACAACAACAACAAAAAAAAACCACAAGTTAGATGTGAAGGAAAACCCACCAGAATAACAACTGCTTTGTAGGTGGAAACTTTTAAAGGTAGAAGAGCCTGGATCAATATAGTTCAAGTTCTAGAAGACTACACATACCAGCCTAGACAACTGTCCTGTATAGCTTTCTCAAATGCCTTGTTTAACATTCATAAACAGTAAGATAGGAGTGATGTTCTTTTGTGGGATGATGAAATACTCATATATGTGAGTTTTCTAAAATGAAGTTTTAAAATTCTAAAGGTGAAAGATATTACTGAGTGTACAATGAAGTTACAGCATGGTGAAATTTCTCATTTTACATTGTCAGTATTTATCTATTATAGTAGAACATTTCTGTTTAAAATGTAAAATCTTGTGTCAAGTATGATACTTTATACCTTTAATGCCAGCACTATGGAAGCAGATGCTGGTGAATCTCTGAGTTTGGGGCCAGCCTGGTCTGTATAGCAAATTCCAGACTACCTAGTGCTACATAGTAAGACCCTGTCCCAACAACAGGAAAAATATTTCTATGTGTAGTGTACTTGTAGTTATGTACACATGTGCATATAAGTACAAATGTTCATGTAGGTAGGCACACACCTAGGAAGTTGGTGTGGAGGCTTATTTCAGGTATCTATCTTGCTTATCCTCCATCTTATTTTTTATTAATTTTTTTATATTCCAATCCCAGTTTCCCCCTCCTTTCTTCCCGCTCCCTCCCACTTCTCCCTGCCTCCCATCTGCTCCTCAGAGAGAGTAATGCCTCCCTTAGGAAGTCTACTGAGTCTGTCCCATCATCTCATTGAGGCACGACCACTCAGCCTAGACACAGGGGTGTGGGGGGCTGTGGAGAGGTGCCCTGGTCCTGCCTCAATGAGATGATGGGGTAAATTTTTTTTTAATGTATATGGTAGTTTAAATAGGAATGGTCCCTGTAGATTCATGTGTTTGTATGTGTGGTTCATAGGGAGTGCTACTTTTAGGAAGTGTGGGCTTATTGGAGGAAGTATGTCACTATAGGTCTTTGAGGTCTCATATGCTCAAGCTACTGCTGTCTTCAAATTAAGAGTAGAACTCTAAGCTGCTTCTCTAGCACCATGCCTGCCTTTATGCCACCATGTTTCCTGCCATGGTGATAATGGACTAAATCTCTCAAACTGTAAGCCAGCCCCAATGAAATGTTCTTCCTTTTAAGACTTAGGTAGTCATGGTATCTCTTCATAACTTTAGAAACCCAAACTAAGACAATGTATTTTTGATTCATGTATATGGATGTTTTGCCTATGTGGGTGTCTGTGATACACAATGTATGTGCAGTGCCCGAGGCAGCTAGAAAAGGGTGTCAAATCCCCTGGACATGGAATTCCAGATGGTTGCGGATGTTGGGAATCACACCTGGCTCTTCTGGAAGTGATTTTAACCTCTGAGCCATCTCTCCAGCTCTTCTCCACATTATGTTTTGAGATAGGGTCACCTCACTGAACTTGAAGGTCACCAATTAACTGTGTCACTAACCAAGATTGCCAAGGGCTCTGCCTATCTCTGTTCCACACCTACACTCCAGGACGAGGGTTACCTATGCGTAGTGCTACGCCTGGCTTTTATATGGATGCTGAGGATGCCAACTCAGGTCTTCCTGTATGTGTGGCAGCCACTCTATCCTCTGAGTCCTCTCCAACCCCTATTGTGAGTTTTGTAAACCATATTCCCATGAAGTAGATTATTCTTCATTTATCAAGGCAGTTTTATGTGTGACATGTACCTGTGCACAAGTGTGGCTTTTCAGAGCAGTTTATTTATAGTTTCAGATGTCGTGTAACTATGGAAACTAGAACTAGTGAGTGTTGCTACCCCAAACCAGAAAAAGTCTGTGCCTTTAGAATATTAAAAAAATAGCTAAATATGAATTATGAAAGGGGAGAATATGAAGCATAAATCCTGAAGGTAAACATTTCTTAATACGAACTTGATTCTTTATAACTTTTGTTATTCAGAATTCCATTGCTGTTAAAACAACTGAGAAAATCAACTATCAGGAAGAAAGCTTTATTTGGGCTCCTAGTTTCAATAGTCTCAGTCCATAGTCACTAACAAAATGAGGCCAAATACAATGTTAGTGAGAGTGTACAGCCAAGGAGCTTGTCACTCCAATGTAGCCAGGAAGCAGGGAAAGGAGAAGTCACAGCACATCTCCTTCACACACAGCTATCTTGTCCCTTGTGACTCTTTTCCTTCAGACTAAAACTCCACTTTTCTCCTCACATACTTTTAACTCCCTTCTGCATCCCAGTGACTCCCTTCTGAAGAGGCTTCAGTTTGTGTAAGTCTCCATACTAACATTGTCATTGCCCTTGTGTCCTTCTGTACAGTTAAACCTAAGAATTCAATGATTTGTTTGGGCCAAATTGCCTTGTTTTTTGGCAGTTTCACCTCATTCCCTTTACTTGCCCAGTGTTCTGGGAAGTCACTAAGTAGATTAATCAAATGCTATTGAACAACCTCAGAATTTATTTTACAAAACTGATCATTTTCAGCATGATGAATTTAATGGT